TAAGATAACTTGTGACAGCAACGTTTTGAAATATCGTGTGATTAGCATACACAAAAATGAAACAAAAAACTAATTTCATTTAACATAATCTCAGGAAGTTTGACTAAAGCAGACTTATATTTAGTTATTATTCTTTTGATAAAGATTCTTCGATAATATTTACGTTTATGTCTACATCTAAATGTGAAATCCGAATCACTGGAACCGATTCGTGCCATTTTGAGGACGGGGAACTTTATTTTCTGTAATCGGATTATATGTAGAATTGCCGCAATATATTTTTGCTTAAAATGGGATACTTCTTTGCTCGAACAGTAACAATTTTGAGAAAATATTCGCAACAGAGAATAAAACTACTAGCATAAGTACATATCAATTAAATATTTAGGCACAATTCTAAATAATAATAATGATATAAATATTGAAATCAAGAACCGAACCAACATGGTTATCAGATGCTATTACAGATTACGTAACCAGTTTAGATAAAAAAGTGCCGCCCAGACGGTATAGTGGTTAGGGTAGTCTGACTGAAATACCGAAGGACCCGGATTCGAATCCTGGAGAAGGCTTGGACGTAATTGTCTGTCCCTTCATAGGAGGCAAAGGTAGTCCACCTATTAGGTGCCTTCATAAAGAGACCACCACATCTGGCCTTAGGAGTGGCCAACATAGCCAAGGGCTCGCCATTGGAAAAAAAAATTAAATCAAAATACCTAAGCAGTAAACCTAAAATACAATGGGCGAGATCTTAGTAAGATCTATGGTATTGTATGGAAGTGAATGTTGGACAATGAATAAAGCAGATGAGGAATAAAGCAGATGAGGGTGAAGCCATTTGAACGAGAGAATGTGAGAAGAATTTTTGCGCATACAAGGCAAAATGGAATGCGAAGAATTAGATATAATTCTTGACAACAGCAAAGGTTTAGAGAACGAAATATAACAAAAATTATTAAAGCCGCTCAGCTAAGATGGTTGTGCCATATCTACAGATACAGAGAAGAAAACCCAGTGAAGAAATTGACATTCCAAAAGCCAGAAGCAGAAGATCACAAACGAGGCGGCTAGACCGTGAAAAAGTGGTTGAAGAATATTGGTGTTATAGAAGGAGAGTTGTGGCGTGAAAAAGTCAAGATGGCGGAGTTGACTGAGACAACCTTAGTCGGAAAGAAGGATAAGTTCCTATGATTGAAAAATCTGAATAAAGTAGTTGTTAACAAAAAACTGCAGAGAGTTAAAAGGAATTTTTAATAACTCATCTAAATATCTTATTATAAAAAGTTATTAGCATTTATAATTAGTCTGAACATTCTTTGAAAACTCAGAGCTACAGTTCATATTTAATTTTGTCACGACGATGACAAACTTTTTCAAAAATAGATTACCTCATATAATTCATTAGTAAACACACATTCATTTTCGAATTTTAGAAATTCATTTAAGGAATAGTACAAAATAATTGAAAATAATTACTCGCAATTTAAACTCAATATGCCCTTCAGTAACGTGGTCAGTGTAAGTTCCAGAGTTATTAAGACTCAAGGCTACATGCTATTATAAATTCCGGAAAAAGTATGTGGGTGAAAAAATAAAACATCTAAGTTCATTAGGCTATATGCTATAATTTTGATGTAAACATCTAAACAACATCAAAAATATTTAAATCTAAATTCAAAGTACTTATGTTGACAAGAGTGAATGCAACGCAAAGCATATTTTAATTGTCAAATCGCTGTTTTACATGAGGTTGCAGTATTTTTACTCCTTGCGTATTCAGTACTTTCAAAGTTTACCAAATAACTAGGCCGGGACATAGAGACCACATTATCAAACGGGGACAGTCTCGATCAAAGCGGGATGTCCGGCAAGTCTAATTTTAGGTGATACGACTAAGTATACGGGAACTATCTGCCTAGGGAAAAGGATGGAGTAGTGCAGGATCCTTTAAATCTTTCGCATTAAGAGAGGCCAAAATTTCTTCGAAACTTTCCTGAACTTTTTCAGTTACTGAATTTGTTCTCATAAAATCCTAAGCCTTATTTTGAGAACATTTGTGCTTAGAGAAATAAGTCTAGGATCAAGATTTAGGGAAATAATAACTATAGGTGTCTTTATCAAATACCTTGTATGAAAGTCTTTTCGTACATAATCAGAAAGCGTTATTTCTTATAAAAATATATATTATCAATTCATCGATAATAATAACAGCAAGAAACATTGCAACTAACCTAAACGCAAATTGTTCCTAAAATTTTTTACTATCTTATATACAGTAAGACCCCGCTTAACGCAGGGGATACGTTCCATCAAAGTAGAGCGTAATGCGAAACAGCGCTAAACGAGGCTATCTTTACATGTAAATATTGGGGTTAGGGGAAGATGGCTAGGAAATTGGTTAAGTATTAAATTTAAAAAGTATGTTTTTTTAATAAAAATAAAACCAAACATTTATTTCTTAAAACCCAAAACCAAATTAATACCACATTATTATTTCTTGCAAAAATAAAACAAAATATATAAATAACAAAACGAATATTCTTAAAAAAAAACAAATAAAATTCGAAGTCAGTCATATTTAGTTAGCCTTCCGCGTTTCCAGTGTTCTGCCTTTTTGTGACAAAAGCATCTAATGTTGTTTGCCTTTTTCTTTTGCGTTGTTTTCTTAAAAGTTCTTCATAAACGGATAGAGCATCTCTAACACCACGCCTTACTTTTGAGCTCCTGTCAAAATTCGGATCATTTTTCACTGAATTTATCCATTATTTCAGTTATGGTAGACAAACTCCTTTTTACAAACGCCATCGAGAGTTCTTTTTGCTCTTCTTCTGAATCACTGTTGTCAACATTTTTGTTTTCTTCTTGTTCAGTTAATTCCTTGAGCTCATCATTAGAAAGACTACCCGCTGCTTCTTGAATTATTTCTTCGACGTCTTCCACATTTACCCCTTCAAAATATGTCTGTACAATACCGCAACAAACAAGAAATACAAGTACACTCTTTCGGATATGTATTTGAAACCTATCGCTGCATAATATTTCGGGGAATCCCCGTATACTGCGAGCGATTTCGTGGAATCCCCGGGTTGAAATAAAAGAGCGCTAAACCGAACAGCGCTAAACGAAACAGCGTTAAGCGGGGTCTTACTGTACTTTGAAAGTTAATACGAGATTTTCAGTGTTATTATGCAATATGTCAAAACAAGTTCTTTCGCGATCTTAATTTTTGTTACATTTGGTCGAAGTGCATAGTGTGCTCTCGATTATCCGAGTGCGAACTATCAGGTTTGCGGATTAAACGTATGTGCCGGTTCTCACTCTTGCACACTCAAAGCTATGCGGTAGATTGTATAAGAAACAAACATGTCTAAATCCGAGCAAACTCTAATGACCACTGAAATACAATTCGTTCTGCATGTGCAGATGTATCTAGTTGTGAAGACTCGGAGGCAGTAACTGAAGCTGTTTGCCAAAAATTGGATATATCGTTAGGCGAAAAGCGTAGAAGAATGGTTCAATGACCATTTGACTGAGCTGGACGTTTACTACATGAGTGATATCATTTTCAATGTCACAGCAGAAAAGGTAGAGTTTAATACTGAAGATGCAATCAAAGAAGATACTGACAATTGCACTAATCTCGAGACAGTAATGACCTCTGTTGAAACTATTGGACTTCGTTTCTAAAGGTTATTTGAATACAATGATAAAATGGAACATCGGAAAATACGCTGTGAAATTCTGCAAACATTCAAACGTTCTCAAAAACAAAATAAAATAACTGATTTTTTTTAAAAATAAATACATATAATTTGCATGAAAATTGATAGTTTGGATTCTCTGTATTTTTTAATTAATTATCCTTGACCGGCTCCCCCGGAATTAGCTTGGACAATCGACAGGATACTATACTTATAATTACAAAAAATATTATAAATATGGCAAATGTTAATGTTACGGCATATTTATAATAAAAAGTCAATTTTCTTGAAATCTGGTGTTTACAGTTGCATTTAGTAAAAGTTTATAACTATTCTAAAAACTAAAAACTGAACCACGTAACTCACGTGTGATAAAAAATTACTGAGTTATTTAATTTTAAAATTTTAGAACGTGTTTCCTGAAAATTCAGGTATCGTATACAAACTGAAGAAGGAAATATTTAAACTCAACACTAATTAAAGAAAAAGAACAAAATCTAAGTTTAGAAAAATGTTCCTAATGTTAGCAAAATACACGACGAACAGTGATATACAGGCTGCCTGTCAGAAAGTGTGACCGATGCAAATTTAAAAAAAAATAATTCCTCTCCACAGATTTTTTTTTAAATTTGTGCTCTAGAAAACAATGGAATTTTTTGCATAAATTAAAAGGGATTTCTATTGAATTTTTATATGGATGTTGGATTATGATTCTATGATAATAAAACTGCATCTGAACACTATTAACATATTAGCATTTAAAAATCTTGCAAATTTCTTGTGTAAATATATTTTGCGCATATCAGATGTAACATTATAGCATAAAGAATATCACACAGTAGTAAATCACGAATGAATATAGCTGAATGATATCAGAACCTCGAATTTCCATAATTTAATTTTTAGGAATGTTTTTTTGAAATGGCTTTCGTACAGCGAAAAAATTTCAAGTATTCAAACTTTAAAATTAACTAAATCAATCAATTTTTGTTCATCACAGATTAAATTTATTTTGTTTTACATATTTATGTGAGGATAACTTTTATAAAATGAACCGAACGGCCGATATAAAAATGTTAAATTTCGTAACTTTTTTAAAAGATGAATTTTAAAATTTATACACAAATTTAAAAAGGACCTAACATGAATATTTATCTGCAAAATCAACACTGATGCCATGTCTACATCAACAATTGTGATTGCAAAGGCCACATAATAACTTTTATGAGTGGGTTGTGTGACTTGAGCAGGTTGACTTAAGATAATAAATAGTATGTAAAATAGGAAGTACAATCTTACCACTTCCAGCTGTTTTAGTGGAAATAATTTCACTGCTGTTTCCTCTTCCCGCGCTGTTTGTTGCCACCAAATAGCAGTAGTACTTCGTGCCGCATAGTAGGTCGTGCAAAGTATACATTGTGCGTTCTCCAGCGATGTGTGTCTCCTGCCACGGAGTACCGTCCATTCGATGATGCAGTATGAAACCTATTCAAATGTGAAACAATAAAATCAAAAGAATAAATAGTTTTTCATCACGAAACTTGCATGATAAAAGTAAATCGTATAGTAGAAAAGGCGAAGAGGAAAAATTTGCGTGCCATGGGCACAGTCACCTAATCAATATTAAAGTCTACAGAGTGTTAAATGTTGTCATACTTATATTCGCTATAACATTTGTATTTGGAATATAAATTCAAGAAAGTATCCAGGTAATGAAGATAATCGATTTTACTCCCGATATCTTCAGTTGTAAAAATTACAGTGGTGAAAAAGTTTTCTAACTCTTTATTAATTTTTTGATCTCCTAGCATGCCTGTTGACAAGTTTTTTGAAGTAGGAGGAGTAAAAAATGAGCAGTGAACTAGCGCCGGAAGTCGAACTGAAGAAAATACCTTATACACTTCCCCTTTTTAAGAGTATAAGGTGTTTCTTTCGCCTTCGTGACATGCCTTCGTGGTGTGGTAGTCTGCTCGTTGGGCGCGTATTCCAGAGGTCCGAGGTTCGATTCCCGGCGAAGGCGTTGCTAATTTTTCATCTCTCTGGCTTCGAAAAAAAATCTTAATGTTACAAGGGCAACTGGGGTTAGGGAACCCAATCGCCAAACCCCTTTTTTTAGTCTTTAGGTTCTTTCTTTGAAGCAGGAAACGTGAAAAATGTGAAATGCCCTCGGCCGGATTCGAACCCTGGAACTATCGAATACGCGCCGAGTATGCTTCCAGTTCCAATTAGCATGCGGAAAGGAGGTAGAAAATACCTTATAAACAGAGAGCAAGTACTTATTATTATCCGGTGAGTCGAAAGCTCTCTCGAGAGTTTGAGGGTACGAGAAGAGGGATAGGAGAGCCTGGGATTCGTTCCCTCCCCCCGGGATGCTCTCTATCAAAATAGGTCTGGGAACTGAGCAAAGTCATCTTATCGTACTATGGTGCTCAAGGCTCTTGCCAACAACAGGCGTAATCTTGCTCTCCTTGCCACGATGAACTTCAAGGGCTTGTTCTGATGTTACTGTCAAACAAGTGAGATTATGACAACAACACTAACACTCCACCTTTTCAAAACAAGTTATAGGTAACACGATACTTAATCAGACAAATAGAGTAAAAAATATTTGCACAGAGGTAGACTACTTAAAAGGTGAAATAATTTTACATATATAAGTACTTACAAAAAATAAAATTCCTTCACAATTTATAAATGTTTTCTTTAAAAACCTCGCGTTAAATATCAAATTTAATCTTGAAACTAATAAGTTATGATAAGCTTATCTGAAACTAAAAGAAGGATAAGAATGAATTGTGTTGTTAGATTTAAGGATTTTTACTTTTTGTATTTAAACTGTAAATTTTGCTGTATATACTTCTAGCCTCTATACTTTTAATAACAAGGAGCATTCATTTCAAGTTTTAAAGCAGCCATTTCAATGCAGAATTTTGACAGGAAATCTTTTTATTTCCTTTTTCCTTTACTTTTAGTCAGGCATAATTATAAAATTATTAGTTTTTACTCTGAGCTTCTTATCATTTTAATGTACAGATTCTTAAAATTCAATAACACGCCGAACAAATATTAACTTAGAAGTCAAACGACAAAAATCAGATTTTCTCAGCTGCATTTGCGCTTTTGCAGCTGAGGATGATGGTTCGGTAAAACCATCGAAACTAGTCCTGTGAAAATTTTAAAATATCACGCTGATTTTTGTTGTTTGACTTCTAAATTAGTACAGACTCTTGTCAAAGAAAGAATATAATTCTTGTTAAATGCACGCTTTTCCGTTCAGATCAGATTTTCTTTGTCACATGTAATTTAAATGCTTCTTTCTTTAATTTTCTCACCAATTCAATATCTGTTAAAGCAAAAGAGTAATTTGAAATCTCCAGACTTCTAATGTGGCAACCCTAGCTTTCCTTAGCATGCTGCTGCTCTCGAACCGCCAGTTTAAATAGGAGAATGATTGCAATATTTAGCATTATTACCAACTGTAAGTAAAAACTAAAACTAATTTTGGCCATTGTAAAAATCGAAATGTTGTAAAGACTTTTTGAAATGCACTTTAGTTATATTATATCTGTTTCTATCCAGTAATTCTTGCCTAGCTTTGTAACTATTGGTTCTTTTTTTTATGTTTAACATATTTTTCTCGAGTAAACTACATTTATTGCCTAACATCATGTCGGAGAATTTCTTTCGCATTTATGGAAAACAAAAGATTTAAATTCAAAAATTATTTTTTTCAATTTTTACATTTTTGCATACGAATTTTGTTAAATAATGCGAGAATGACGAAATACGATCGAATTGAATAGTTTCTGATTTTATGGAAAGAAACTAATTACCCTTGAAAATCCAGGATCTTTCTATGGAATCAGCAACAAGTTTTCTTAAAAGTATTTTATTTAAAATGTTTCGTTAAATTATACACACTTATTGCTTACCACAATACTCTTATTGCTTTCCACAATACGTACAACCTAAGTTTTACACTGTTAAAAATATCCCAATTCATTAGCATTTCACTCTAAAAGCTATCCGATTAATTTAGCATTTTCTTATCATTTCCTAAGAGATAATCAAATTAAAATTAATTATTAAGAATTATATGTATCTGTCTGTCTATCTATTTATCTCTCTATATATATGTTTGTGTTATTTATGTATATGTATGTATGAGTAATATATATGTATGCATATACCATTTCAAACATAAATCTTATACGCACGAGAAGTTGCGTATATTGTTAGTGGCAATTGACAATAAGAAAACTATTATGATGCTCTTTTCTTTTCTGATCCTACGTACGAATCGCATGCAGTGTGATCTCATCTTTTATGAATCTAAACAGAAAGAACAAAACAGGTTTCTATGGTTACTGAGACCGAGCTAAGCCATTTATTTCCTTTTTTCCATACAAATAATATAATGGCTTTCTGAAACGTGCTGAATTTCGGAAATTATCTTGTACTAGTAAAACGAAAAGCAAAATAGTAATATATGTCATTATTTTAAGTTCAGGAAAGACATTACTTTGATCTAAATATTTCAAAAATACATTGAATGACTCTGGCTCGCTTTCATATTGTTGAGCTATAAATACGACGGGAATGAAACAGATTCAAGCCAACCTAGGTTCAAGTCATATTTTACATACAAATTGTTACTACGGGCTTAGTAACAGCTTCGCTAGCCATGTAACGTAAGAATGGAAAACATAGCTTTCTTTATTTCCTCATACGTGGATTTAGTTTACACTACGATTCCAGAAACACATAGAATTTTATCGGGAATTTAATCCCCCTGTTCCGCTGAATATCGATCGTAAGCAATCGTGCTTAAATTCCAACCACTGAACATAAACATTTAAAAAAACAAATGAAAATGCAATTGAAACATAAAATTTCTCTCAAGCATAATTTTAAATCTATTAATACAGTAAGAAAATAAACCTTAATTAAAAACAAGTCGATGTTCTAATAATTCTGTTTTGTACAGATGATTCCTTTGTGCTGCTAATTTTATCGTCTTTTTTATTCAGCTGCGTTATGTTACATAGTTAACATTTTAGTATATTAAATTTGACTTATATAAGGGAAATACAGCTAAATATTTAAAAGAAAACTGAACAAATTATAAACATTAAGTAGTAGCTATTCTTTTTTTATAGTTTATCCAGACAAAATTAAACACGAGAACAACATTAACAGAAATAATCTTACATTAGAAAAAGGGAAGAGAGAAAATGTGTGCGGCGAGTATGCAATTGGCTGATCAGTGCTTACGTTTACAGAGTGTTTAGTGTTGCCATAATTTATTTAAATTTCTAAGCCATTGCGAATTGGTAAAGATACACAGATCTGCTCTGGATATTTTCACCTCTAAAAATTGTTAGGGCTTGTTGTAAAAATAGTTCAAAATTCTTGGTTAATTTTTTTTCACATGTGGCAATTTCTTTCACAAAGTTTATATTAACTTTTAACCCACAAAATTACTAACTTATTATTTGAAAACAGTGTAAAATTGAAAAATTCTTAATTTAATCACTCTCTGTTTAGAAACTGAGAATTACAACCCATTGGTGAGCAACTAAGAATAGAATCCTAAGTTTAAGGTCTGATTTTGGTAAACATGTAAGATGTGATGTTTTGTATAAACTGTGTTGTAAAACTGTGAATTTACAGATTTCAATAATATAATCAACAGAATGTTCTAAGCCTTATTATTATGTTCTGATTTTATGGTTTGCATTCTACGAACTGTTTTGGTGTTAATTTTAAGATATTATGAAATGAATAAGTTTTAAGGCATGAGTTGTCCATTTTATTGTTTACTTTGGTTATTATTTATTGTTACCTAATTTATTATTCCTAAAGTTAGTCGTGACATCAGCATTTTGGTAGAGTTTAATGCTTTAGCCTATTAGATTCGTTAGAGAATCGGAATATATTACAACATATCGAGAATTGTAATCATTTACTTTGCATATATATATATATATATATGTCATAATAAATGCACAAAGGAAAAACGGAACACTGTAGATGCGTGATTAGACCCATACTGAAGAAGAATTTGATTGCGTAGTATGCTAATAATGCTAACTTGGTAATATCTAAAGAACTTGGCAGTCGAAGCAGTTTTAATTCCATTTTTATTTCCAATTGATATTTGTGGCCACAATCACTTCACTCTAGTCGTGCCTTTCCACAGAGGATTTACGTTTTTGATATTGCTGAGATAGAAAGCAAGCCAGCGAAATTACATCTTAGCAGAGTAGAGGGCAAAAGCTGAAGTGCGTAGTTATGAAAGATGGAAGCACGCGAAGAGAAAAGTTTTGGTTTACAATTCGGTGATTGTTCGTCAAGAGGCATCTGGTATTAACGGTTACGTAAGATCGCATGATTAATTTGAATGACGCAATGCAGATAAGTTATTACGATTTTAGAATAAAGAGGAAGAATTAATGTTTTATAGTTTAATCTATAATTTTGAT